TCACTATTTTAGATTGCTATTCGTACGAAGAAGCGGATGAATGTGAAGCAAAGAATGGAACGTATTACTTAAGACAATGTCTCAATCAAAGCTACGCTGCATTACAAGATACAGCAGCCCTGGCGGATGTCGCTCTGAGAAAGCCTCCCGCAGAAGAATATTTCACGTAAGTCTTATAATTGACCAGCTGTTCCCATGCGGCTTCATCCGCATGAAATTATAAAATTTTTATTGTTTACAATTATTTCTGTCAAAATTACCGTTACCATAATAACCTTGCTTAGTCAACGTTGGCAGCTTGTAGTTAAAGTTCCCATTTTGATATGAAGGTTTTTTCTAATTTATTTACCCCCTAGGAATAATAGTGTGAAAATAAATAGCCTAAAGCGTGTCGTAAGTGTAGGGCTTTTTATTAAAGACAGAATTATTCAAAAATATGCTAGGATTGCTGCCATCCTACGCCACGAAGTAATGTATGTTTATATTTTATTATATTAGTATAGATATAGATATAGATTAGGTATATTTAATATTTAGCAATGTTACTGTTTAACGCACACGGTTAATACTAGTAATGATTGTTGCCAACAACAACGAACAAACTCCAAGGTTTATTTCAAAAATAAGTAAATCCAAAATTTTCACAGTTAGCAAACATTCATAACATGTACTAGGAGATTATCCCTGATAATATCCTAGGAATGTTTTCTTTGTAAGAAATAACCTGAAGTGTCTTGAAGGAGATATCAAATTCAATATTGCATATACCTAGGTAAGCATGGGCAAGGTCGTTTTAACATTAAAATTATGAATAAGCGAATCTTCTTATTATATTTTTTTGTGTTCAGTTATATTCATAGTCTTAGGTTTTAAATTACTATTAAGATTCTTTAGATTGAAATGCAATATTAAAAGTTATTGATAGGCGACAGAATCGGCAAAAATGTATTTTTTTTATAAAGAAAAAAGCTAACGTTTCCTCTAGGGAATGAGGGAAATGAAGACTTGCTATAAATTACTTTGCATTGCAATAGTCTGAGATGGTTTTTATTTAAAATTTACCTCGTCTTTTTATTACTTTGTTTTTAAATTTCAGACGTTGAAGATTTATGTTTTACTTGTATGTTATAAGCAATCATTTTTATCTTAATATTATAACTGCGAAAGTTTAGAGGAATGGATAGGTGTTTGTTAGAGTTTATAGCCTAAACGGCTGAACATGTATGTAACATGAGAACACATGGACTACTCACTTTTGTTTTTTTTATTCCACTCGGACGTTTTCGTAGACGATGCTAGTAATATTATATTCATAGTATGATCTTCTGATCAGATATAAACATTGTTTACACTTTTTGAATGAAATGGGTACCTTAGAAAATAAGTAAAAATGATAAATTGATATAGGTACATAAACCTCCACGGCACCAGCCAATGTACGGAATTTTGAATTTATAAGTAGTGGCGGAATTTACAAGGTTCATTTGGTTTAAATTTATTTCTACGTCCTCATTATTACGTGTTCCATATTTTGGTAAAAATAATTTACTATGGTAGATGTTATTTGTTTTTCCAAATTAATTTGCCTTCTTTTACATAAATTAATACAGATAAACTGAAATTTGTTAAACTGCTAGGTTGAATGTATGAAGTAACTATCACGTTAAAAGTTTTTACATAAATACATATGTTTATGTCCAGTGAAGGAAGAAAATCAGTTTACGAGTCCAATAGACCGATTTATTATCCCTTTGATGTAGTATGTGATGTGATCAAAAAGTATTGATAGACATAAATATCCGTACACTTTTATAATATTTTCTATGTTAATATTATTCATGAAGTAGTATAAAGCATTGTCAGAAAGTATTAACTAAAAGCTTTCAACTAGACCATAACATAATCAGAAGTAATTACCTAATTGCATTGCAGAGTTTTGCGACACGCGAACGTTGTAGTTCCGAGGTCGTATTCTGTAGAGCTCGCTTTTCATCACGTGTTTTTTTTTAACTTTATATTCATCTGTTTTGTTTGAATTTATTATGTTACTTTTACCCATCTGACAGTACAGTGAATTATTACAAACCGTTGCGGAGGGACTAACACATTTGCCAGGAAACATTCGTAACGTCATCGTCAAACATTTGTATCTAATTTGTGTAGTTATCGGGCTTTAGGTACACCAACAAATCTCATACTATAATAATTTTGTCGATTTTTACGATAGCCCAAGCGTACAGAGAAGTCGTTGAAAAACAGTAAAACCGAAATTTTTATTATTTAAAATTTAAACATAATCAACATTACAAAGGCCTCATACTTTTCCGCTGCTATTATCATCGTTTTCTTTATACTTTCAGTAACAAAGTTCTAGGATTGTCTTCGGGAATTGAAGAAACAGGACAAATTCGCTGGAGTATGGCTTTGTGTCTCTTCGTAGCTTGGCTAATCGTATATCTCTGCCTTTTCAAAGGAGTCCAATCATCAGGCAAGGTATGTCAAAAACAAAATATTTTTGATTTACACATATATGGCATTGAATAGACTAGATTAAGGAATTCATGTTAACTATAGGAATAATCTCATTTTTATTAATTGTGTCGCTTGAATTTGATCCATTGTTTAAAAATTCATTAAATTAATTGCTGTGGCAAGTCGATTACTTAGCGCGTAGCGAGTCATTCATTTATATCTACAAATTAAATTGATATTTCATTTTATAGAGATTCACGATAGTCTGATCATCGTAAAATATGCTTTACAGAGAGCGACATGTGTTTAACTTAATAAAATTAAACACATCCATATGTGTTATTACATATTTTTGTTTTTGCTTTCAGGTCGTCTATTTCACTGCGCTATTTCCGTACGTGGTGCTTGTGATTCTATTCTTTCGCGGTGTGACGTTACCGGGTGCTTCTACTGGCATACTGTTTTATCTGACACCTGATTTCAGCCAGTTGGCTAATGCACAGGTAATAATTAAAACTGTTGAATTAGTACACGGTAGCATAGTACTCTCTGTTTTTTGTACTACTCTTTGTTTGTAAATCTAGGTTTTTTCAAAAGTTTATCTTTATAGGTTTGGGGAGACGCTGCGGTACAAATTTTCTTCGCCTTGAGCCCAGCCTGGGGAGGATTGATTACACTTTCGTCGTATAATAAATTTTCTAACAACTGTTACATGTAAGTACGAGTTTTTTTTTGGCAATTTCCAATCATTCGCAGATAAGATTACTATTTACGATATGTGATGTTTGTAGCGATGCCAGCGTAAAGACTAATTTGTCGAAGCTCTATTCGAATGAATACTTTATTGAAGAGGAGAGTCCCTGTTGTAAACTTCAATATTTTTTTTTTAAATGGGCAATCGGGGTATACATTTGTTCATAGATGTTTTAATATCTTTGTTTTCAGAGACTCGTTGATCGTGGCGGTATCTAACATAGCGACGTCGTTTTTCGCGGGGCTCGTCATCTTCTCTGTGATTGGTTTCCTGGCGCACGAGCTGAACGTAGGCGTGGACCGCGTGGTGGATCAGGGCGCCGGCCTCGCCTTCATTGTGTACCCAGAGGTGGTCACTAGACTGCCAGTCTCCCCACTTTGGTCTATTCTCTTCTTTGTGATGCTATTGGCTCTTGGTCTGGATTCTCAGGTACGGCAAAAAATTCTCAAAGATTCACGATTATAGTTGTTAATTAATTATTGTTAAATATATAGATTTTTAAAGCCAATGTCCGGTGTGATTACTATTATAAAAAAGATTACTAAAACTATTTAAATAACTTCCAGTTCGCTCTCATGGAGACCGTGACAACAGCAATACTTGATCGTTTCCCGAATTTCCGACAGAAGAAAGGATGGGTAGTGTTATCAGTCGCTATATTTGGCTATTTAGGAGGTCTCATTTTCACCACTAATGTAAGCATTGTTTGTTTTATTAAATACTGTTTTGTAATATAATAACTTTTAGATTTCTGTTGTCAAACCAAGTGTAGACATGTTTATTGAATTAGTTGAAAATGGTAAATGGGGTTGAATTTAATTGGATTCATTTTTAAATGTATTTATCTGAAATACCTAATATTGAAGTTTCGAGAACAAATAATGATATAGCTATTGCTTCCAGAGCGGAATGTACTGGCTGCAGCTGATGGACAAGTACGCGGCGAACTGGTCGGTGCTGATCATTGCCATCGGCGAGTGCATCCTGATCGCCTGGATCTACGGCACGGATAAGTTCTGCCGCGACATTCAGAGCATGATCGGACGCCAATCCAAGCTCTGGGTTATCTTCTGGAGCGCCATGTGGCGTATCATCACCCCCGCTGCTCTAGTGGCAAGGACATTCATTTCTGTGAACTATACATTTTAAGATTCTCACTAGAAATCTGTAAACCTGTTTAAAGACGAATTATTATGAAATCTTATTCCATTTAAGTTAATCTTGAACAATCACATGAACGTTGTTTAGTAAGAATTAAGTAAATTATTTAGAAATCTTTCACACTGCATAACTGTTGGTATCAACAACCATTCTACAATTTCAGTTTATATTGGTGTTTAACTGGATTGAATACAAGCCGGCGTCGTACGGACAATACGTATACCCGATGTGGGCGGACGCCGTAGGCTGGACGCTGGGGGTGCTGCCTGTTGTCGTAGTTGTGCTCATGGCCGTCGACCAGATCTGTAGCGGACCTGACGATCTCACAATAATGGAGGTACTTGATAAATATTTTTGATATCCACTCACAAAATTAATTTTATTTACATCAATGAACTACATATATATCATAAAGTGGTCATGATCCTTTAATGTTCTTCGTAGACATGAAGATACATTTGAAGCTGTAAACAAATCCGTGAACGTGTTCGTATGCTGTGAATAGTGATGTATTGGCGATGTTGCAGAAAGCGCGCGTGCTGGCGCGTCCGACGGAGGAGTGGGGCCCGGCGGGCACGGGCTGCGTGCTAAGCGCGCCGGCGACGTGCGCCATGCGCGCCGAGCCCGAGCTGTCGCCGCCCGTGCTCATGCTGCACGGCCGCCCCGTGCTGCGCGAGCGCGGCGCATGACCCCACGCACACCCGCTCATCGCAATGCGGAGGATCGACAATTCTGTAAGTACACTGCTCCGTCGATTTCAATGCCAGTAAAATGTTAGGATTTTAAAATAACAATGTGTTTATGATGCTTTTCAGTCATCTCAAGATGGTATAGAAACTACATCTATAACCAGTTCTGTTGAAAGCGAAATAAGAAGGCCATCTAAAACAAAACGTAGTTCGATAAAAAGGAAAATACCTAATTTCAAAGACGATTCAGATGACACAGTTAATGAACCACTTTTGCAGTCAGAAAACGATGTCAGTGAATTTAAACAAAGTGCCAAATTTGTAAGTTCAAAATCTAAGACTGATTCAACAAACGGGAAATCAGATAATACAAGCATTGGAACTAAAGTAAAAACTTCCCCGACTACTTCTACTTTTTCTGAAAATGTTACTATTAAAGGTGTTACGACAGATATTGAAAGTGCCAGCACATCCGTAACAGCATCTATTCATAACTATATGAACACAAATGTATTTGGTGCCATCGACACTTCCACCTCGAAAACGACAAAAAGTTCATTAATCGTTGAAATCGAAAGTACTAAATCTTCTTATAGTCCTAGTCCTCTAATATTTACAACAGCTAAAATACATACACACAATAAAATAAAGGAGATGGAACCTCTACATGTAACGCCAGTCCCAATTTTATCTACCATAGAAGGCAATGTAATAAAATCTATACCGAGTACAATAGATAGCGGCGAGAAACATTATGACACTGTAAAATCAAAAAGTGAAAGTCAGAAAAAATGTATCCAAGAAAATGAACAAAGCATAATTACAAATGCTTCGAACATCAAGCAACATTCAACAACTGTAAGTCCAAATATAAAAACAACTGTTGTGTCTTCAGTTGTAACAAAACCATTATCGGGACAGAGTACTAAACAAACTTCATTTGATAAGCCTTTAATAGTACAGACTGATTCTAAAATCCCTGTTACTAGTTCCAAAGTTGAAAAAGCAAATTCGACTTCGAGCACCAACACAAAATTGCAAGATAAAAATACTCGAACGGCTACGGCTGATAACACGAAGAAAAACGTGCAGGAAAGAGATTCTGCAGAGCGTTCAAAATTGGAAATTCAAGAAACACCTAGTAAAAAACAAAATGATAAGCAAAGTTTTTTGATGGATGAGAGTCAAAAACAGACTTCAAATGGTGTTACTCCTCAAATACTCTCTTTAAGTGCAAAAAAGGCAGCAATTTTGACATCAAGTAATAATGAAAATACACCAGATAAAGAGAAGGACCCTAAATCTGGAAGTAGTGTTCCTATGAACAAGCAGCTGCAACGACAAAAGAAAACAGTAGACGATACTTGTATCTCCGATGCCAAAAACCGAACTATTGTTTGTGATCCTAAAGTAAACATATCTAAAGAAGTTTCTGCCGGCATACCTGTAGACAAAGCAAAGAGTGCTATTATTAAGCCGACTATGCCAAAAATGACTTCAGATTCACAAAATGCTTTAACGATGCTGCCAACTAAATCTGGTGCTAGTATGTCAGCCAATTATTCAGCAGTATCAGACAAACCTATTTTCGTAAGTTCTGTGCCAAAAGAAACAGCAAATACTACGGACAATATAGAACCCGTGACTTCACTACTACCAGGGAAAGGAAAAAAGGTAGATAAAACTAGTTCATTGATTTCTGAACCAATAGAGAAAAAAAATATTTCGGATAAATCTGATTCTTCAACTTCTGTGCCAAAAGGAAAAGTTACTACTTCTGATAAATCTTTAACTTCTTTAACAGCAGTCAAAGCTAATTCTACGGATAAATCTAAAACTGTAAATAAAACTAGCCCCTTGACTTCTGTGCCTTCAGGGAAAGCCAATAATATTGACAAACCCGGCTCTTTGAATTCGACGTCAACCGGGAAGACAAATACTGCGGATAAATATGTTTCTTCGTCTTCTGTGCCTGTTGTAAAAACAAATCCAATTGACAAACCTAGTTCTTTACCTTCAGCATCAATGACCACAGCGAAGATATCAAATAAACCTGATTCTTTAAGTTTCATGCCAGCTGTAAGTCCTAATACTTCTATAAAACCTGGCCCTGTAGCATCTGCGACATCAGTAAAGCCAAAATCTAAGGAGAAATCTCCATTAATGTCGGCGTCAAAAGGAACGGCAAACGTCACGGCTAAACCTGGTTCTTTGTCCACTGATAAGGCAAATACTGCAGGAAAAATTAGTTCTGGAAAATCTGCGCCAAGTGAACAAACTAATACTGTTATATCCGGATCTAAAATTTCGGTGTCTATTACTAAAAGCAGTAGAAACGACCCAGTAACCACAACTTCTGGACCGCTTATATCTAAATCAGCAAATAATGTAAAGTCGTCTGGAAAGGAATCCGTTGCAGAAGTCAAGAAAGTTTCCGAAAAAACGAAATCTAAAGTTTCACCAACGTTAAAATCAGAAATACCAATTGGACCATCTGAGAGTAAGGCCCACAAAGGTGTCCCCACGTCGGTAACAACTGATATCTCGTCTAACGTCGTCACTACGATAGCTAAAAAAATAGGAAATGAAACAAATGCGACTACTTCAAGTACTGCAACGCCATCAATAAAGGGAAGCACGGTCAGTAATTTGCCATCGTCGTCGACTTCTGCTAAGATTCTAATCGGAAAAACCAAAAATAATGAACCGATGTCTAGCGAAAATAATAAGGATAGTAGAGCTTAACTTTTAGACTTTAGATAATAGGTAATTTTAACTAATTAAGAACTTTTCTTGAGTTTAATGAAATTAGTTGACAATACAGCACTTCAGAATATTTACGCATCGGCAAACGTTCGACTTAGTTCTGTGTGCGAAAATTTCTTCTAAATTATAATTGTTGATCCCTGATTAATAATTGTAGAACTTTAAAGTAGATGTAAATAGCACGTAGGAAAATAAATAATTATCAGCAATTAACATTTTTGTTAATAAAAACTCAATTAAAGTAATATTCTGAATAATCGTTTAAGAATCACTACGATATTAATATAAAAAATGGTTTGCTCAGTAAAATGTGTATAGAATTGATTGAGGAATATTTAATGATGTAATGTATTTTCATTATGTTTTTAAAATCCCCGCATGATTAATTTGCTATAAAATTGCATAATATTTGTATGTATAATCAAATGATCATACACATTAAGGCAAAACCAACGCCTCAATAATACTGAATATTTGAATCCTTTAAAAGAGGTTAGTGGTGCTAAGAAAGACAACAATATTTTTCATAGACAATATTATATTTTCAATTTTTGGATACCATTTAGAGATGAAGTGTACCATCTCACAAGTCAATTGACAATCAATTTATATAATTATTTTAATTTAATTAATAATGATTCAAAATCTCTACCTATTCTATTTGAACTACTGACGTCGAGAGAATATAACATTCAGGGTAGTAAAAAATAGTATGAGATTTATTTAATATATTTATATAATAGATAAGTAGCAACTTGATTTAAGAGTTTTCGGTTAATCTTATTTTACCTTTATTACACGTTAATAATAATTGATAATAGCTTTATTAATATTTTATTCCTAAATACGTAGTCTGTGTTAAACACAATCAATAACTAACATGTTCAAATACTCCATCCGAGATCTGAATCGTCGTCTAAATGTTAAATTATTCCAAATTAATTTATTTATTTAATTAAATAAAGCAAATAATGTTAGCATGTTTGAAAAGTTTCAATTTATTTTATGATTTCAATTTCATGAAATTGAAGAAATGAACACTAACGATCCATACTAAATAAAAATAAAATCAAATATTTATTTTAATACGCTTAGCTTGCATTTATTTTGTATCTAATACTGGTTTGAAATTATAAATCTATTTTATTTTGCTACAATACACTGTGTAAATAAGTAAAAAATAATAAAATTTTATTAAACAAACTTTAATTAGACCTAATCTTACTGTAGGGCAAAGCTCAACTTCTTTAGATGTAATTTTATGTACGTCCACTTTATTAATCCGTCTATTTTTTTTGCAAATAATTGTGTTGACACATAAGGGTTCTTTAAAGCATCTATTGTCAAATTCGGTTTAATTACTTCCTATGCAATTATTAAATTTAACAAAACGAAATCTATAAAGAAGACTTTTCACTTCTTACTTTCTATTTTACTTGTTTTCTAACATTAATCAATAAATAATTTATAATTCATGGAAAGAACTGAATGTGCAAAAAGTAAAAATGGTTGTTTTTTAGTTGTAATAATAGTTAATTTCCCGTAAAATATGAACTTTTTAATATTTGAATTATGTTTGTCTCTAAAATAGTGTTATTTAAAAATTACGTATTTTGGATTATTTTTACAAAACATTTTTCTGAATACATATATTTTCGCCAGTTAAAATAAGCCTGTGTATTTTTAACTAAGTTACATTAATTCATACTAGTAATATAATTCGAACAAATTTTTGACTTGTACAAACTCTGATGCCAAATGTATAGTTACGGGTTTTTAAATCAAAATAATTTCGTTAAACTATAATTTTTTTATTTTATTAAATCCGAAAATATGCTCAACCTTTGTTATGTCTAGATTTTACCGACCACGTAAATGCAGAATGTAAAAACTAAATGTAATATAATTTTGACACAAACATATGTGCAATTAAAAAACACATTGTCTTACGATCCTTAGGGCCTGTCCCACCAACTTGTAAATTGTGTGATAAGTATCTAACGTGTAAAATATGTGATGGAAATATAGGATTGTTGCCTTATCTGACAGTGACGTCATTTTTAAATTAACTGAGCCCCTATCAGCCGGTGGTGGGACAAGCCCTTAATGATATTATAAATACTTGTATACAATCTAATGATCAAATATCACATTTGTCTACATTTAATATGACAAAAGTAACAGACATTTTAAAACTCTGAATAGGTAGAGATGAACATTTCAGTTATCTCACGAGTATACTAATTTATATTTGTTTATAATTTGTATATGTATTCTTTATTTCTAATTCAATGTGTATATGTAGTGGTGTAGACACTTATTACCTTAGATTCTATTATTCATGGATCTGTATCTTTCGCATATCTGTAATTTTAATTGGTCATATATGTCTCTAGTAGTTCTGGATTTCAGAAATAATTGATTAGGCGTATTGGATGATAATTTTTCCGTAGTGAATCTAACTTTAAGGAAGTTCACTAAAATAGTCACTATACATGTACTATCTCAATTTGAACTTTGTAAATGAATGTAGGTACGTAGTACCATATCTATTGTTGTATCAGAATTAGATGTTAGTATTGTCGTTTAGATATTTTACTCAATTTCTAGATATAATTATTGATAAGTGAAATATGATATCCAATTATGTTTTATTATTTTAGATGAATTTATTTTGATAACTATCAAGATTTATCCAGTAATGTTATACCCAATGTTTACAAAAGTAGTATTCTCGATTGTTTTACCTCGTTAGACGCCAAATGATTTAATACGTAAACCGATCTTGTCCGAGCACAAAGATTTTAATGCAACATGTGCTGTAGCGATGAAGGAATGAATACATGAACAACAGAAGTCGCTGATGATTCCTTCAGAAAGAGATACGTATGTATTATGAAAAGCCTAAATAGTTATTGTTGTTAAACTTGATGTATTTTAGATGATTATTGATTAAATCGATGTTACATAGATGTTTATTGTAAATATAGAATGTAATCGAGGTGAGAGCAAGAATGAAGTGTTTTGAATGTTATTAGAAGGCTGTATTTTTGGGTGATATTTTAGAAACGGAAGACATCATATCTTTGATAACATTATTTAAAGACATGATGGATGTCGGGCAAGGATGGTATTGAAATTGTCATTTGAGATGATGTGATAAATTATAAGGATTTTAGTTTTTAGTGTTGTTGTGCTATTAATAAATATGTTCAGATGTGGTTATTGATTGTTTTATTTCACTTTCCCGCTTTCCCCAATAACTTATTCGTATCATGTTTAAGAGAACATCGGTCTATATGGAAAGAGGACATAGATATATATACCTTCTTCTGAAGTTAATAAATAATTAATAGGTTGATTTGATATTGGACCTAAGCCGATCACTTCATATTGGTCAGTATTGTCGCCTGATTTTAATTAACGCTCGGTACAGAATGTTAGATATGTTAAAATTAATCACGATTAAGCGGATAGATCGCATTTGCAATAAACATATTTGTTATCAACATAGTGTAACAAAACTACTATTAGTTAATATGTTTTTTCTGATGGAAAGAATAGGAGTATCGCGGTAACACAAAGCCAAAAGTTATATAAAGGGCTTATTAGTTATTTATTTATTTATAAGAAGCGATACGTAAAATAGAAAACTTGTCGTGTTAACAAGATGTCATTTATTACGTTAACGTAATCGATTACCTTAATTTACCCACTTTCCAATTTTCCGAATATCTTTAAAGCGGCCATGTTAATGATTGAAAGTTATGACATCACTATACGGAAGACCATAGTTTGACTATGTTTGGATGTTTTAAATTGTGTTAATACGTTTCTAAATGAGGGTCGCATCATTATCACAATCCCATGTGATCACTCAGTAATGCACATAGGTCTTCCTCCCTTCTAAGCAGTATGTGGTCCTCCGCTTTACTTTAATCACAATAACAACTCTATCATAATTGTACAATAAATTGTGAATACTTTGAAGACTTTGCTTTGTAGATAATATATCAGGTGTGGAATTCGTCAGAGGGTGGGGGCAGCTGCTCTTACCCTATAGAATCGAGAAATGTGAAATAGATATTAAAACTACTTCAAATAAGAACATCATAATGATAACCTCTACATTATCAGCTGGCGACGCCTATGATAGGTATCGTTATGTTGTCGTATAAAACATTTAGGTTCCAATATTCCGACTTCCCATAGAAAAACCGAAAGAAGAACAGCGTTTAGCTTGTTGACATCATCGAAGGCATTTCAGAATAAATACCATCTTTACTAATCAAGCGTAAGAAAAAATGTAAGTTCGTGTTCTGAGTTTTTAATTTGTGTTTTATTTATTTTTTCGGTGTATCTTAGTATCGATAACAAAAGATGATAATTTACTTTATATTAAATTTTCCGCCTTCCTCTTCTAGTGTATAAATAAAATGAAGTATTGTTTCGGGAACATCCATTTCCTGAAAGGAAAATGTTGGCAAATTGTTTTCCGTTTATTTGTTACACACAAATTACGTTATCGTTAAGTTAATTGCCGTATACTTATTGAATTTGTTTTGTAATTTCTGGGAGTTTACATGAGAATACTTGCCATTCAAATTTTATAAAGTATCAAGTAGTATATTTTGCTTCTAATATTTTTTATATAGCGAGGACTGGTGTAACTACTCATGTTATTCTTATCATTTATCTATTTCTTCTTTGTATGTAATCATAGCTACATAGTCACAATATTACTAAATATTGAATTATGTTGTTTAGATAACGAACCAATTTTACTATCAGGTTACCTATCATATTTACTTCATTTTTCCTAAGTTTTAATTAGCGAAGTTTTGTTTAATAAAAGTGTTAACACTTTATTTAGTTACTCTTTTTTAATTAAAAATAACTGAATCTATTTTACGAAAGGCAAACCTTTATTTCTAAAATGTTTATTAAAGTACATTTTTAAATACTGGGAATAAGCTCCATAATCCATACGTTTACCGAACTTACCGTACGTTTTCATTTCCACGATGTATGGTCGAATTTTTGACATCTATTCGGTCGGGAACAGTTAGCTACACGCCCAACATGACTTATTACCCGCAAATTAAATCAGTAAGCAAAGGCTTTTATCGCTTGTGGTTCGGTACCTTCGTGACGACGAACTTTCTTCTTGCCTCTATTTTATTTTAGCATTCGCGTCGGTCCGTCGCCCGCGGCGGACGTGTGTCGCGCTTTCTGTTTATTCCACCCGCTATCGTCACTGCCGCCATAATCCAACCGTGAATTTGTTTTTGGTACCGTAATATTGTCGTTCACATCGGTGTTAGTTTATGACTACATACCCGACAGAAGTGTAACAGTGTTATTAAATACGTTCAATGCTTCCGTTCGAGTGAAATGACATTTTGATCAACAACGATATAATGTTCAGTTACTCAAATTTTAATGTTGGTGAAATACAACACTAACTTAGTCGGTGAATTGGACTGAAAAGGTTTGTAATGTTTGTCTTAAGCAACTACTTTTTACGATCATGAAAAAATGCTTCTTATTGCTTTGTTATTTTCATCGTTTATGACTTATTATATGACCTTTATTATGAATTGATAAACACTCTAATTGGATAATTAATCTAACAAGCACAGTTCGGACTTTTGTTAAACTATCTATTTTATGTTACCATCTATTTTGGGTAAAGATTATAGGTTTTCTAATGTTTATTTCTCTTATCCATTTGTCTGATACATGTAGATAATTTTGAATGATAAAATGCAACCTTGTCAGCATTAAGACACATCAATATCACTGGTTTGACATTATCAATAATGTTAAGAGAGAACATTAAAATGGAAATACATGTAACTACTATTTAAACAATAACAACTGTACATTAATTAATAAACGTACAAATTTAATGCGAATGTTTCAAAAACGATCTTCATGTTCAGTTATAAGAATACCGGCCAACTATCCCGGTTATTCATAAAATCATCGTAAAATTTAAGATTTTTACTATGAAAAGCGATATGAAGCAATATTATATATATTGCCGTGTTTTCATATTCTAAAAATATGTATATTGTTTGACTAAATGTAATTTATATTGTTTGTTACAAAATTATTGTTATAATTTTTTATGTCTACCTACATCTAAACAGTCATTAAAGCAATTTATTGTGAATTATGTGACTTTGTTGAGCTGATTCTCTAATATCGCTTGCTAGGAATGATTACAGCAGGATGTTTCATCATCATTCGAAATTGAATCGCGGTGTAAATCTATTAAATTGTTTCCTTTGTTATTTATAAGGCAAGAAACAGGCAATAACTAATAAGATTTTAGATTGTGTAGGTTACAATATAATTTAGTAATTCGGTAATTGATTGGATCGTCCTGTTCAACTTACTACACTTAATAGGCACATAAGTATATTAGAATAAGACAGATTCTGGAGGGACATGCTTTTTTGGGATTTCTATGCGTGAAAATTCCGTTGTTACCTTGTTGTCTAAAAGAAGGAAGGACAAAGAAGGATGTAGACGCAAATAAGTTATTTTACGTAGTTAGAAACTATAATGTGTATAGTAGTAAAATACACAGGGGCGTTTACATATCTGTCAGATTCATTTTACAAACCCACGTTACCAATAAAAGACATCAGTAAGAAAGTTGGCAATAATTGAACATAAACGTCGCATAGTCTTAAGAAGGTCGAAAGAAATCGTTTGAAAAAGCTGAAGAAGCCATGAATGGATGGAAAGTGAGCTGACAGACGAGATGTGGTAGTTTCTGTTCACACGCTCCTCGCTACCCGACAGAGATAACTAGCGTGATAATTTATTCATTTTGAAATGAGCGCTCGGTTACGTTTAATCTGCAGATGAGTTACACCACTTACCACTGTCGCCATTGTAAAAATAAATTAAATTTAGATTAGAAATATGCCCTTCGTTAACAATGACATTGTTATTGATACATCATGCGAAGTTATTATGCGTTACTATTTTTTTTTATTTGGCATCCGCTCATTTTTATATATCTATACACTATATTGTTTATACTAAAAGTGATCATATTGTTTCTTTCTTCAGCTCAGATAAAGTTTAAACTTGTCATGCAGATTTGTACACATTAAGAAACACATCGGCTAGCAAACTGAAACCAATTATTTCTTTTACCCAATAGTGTAGGCTAAATTTAAAGATTTCTCTAGTATTTTGCTTCATTTATCTAAATTTTCTCTTATCTCCACGTCTATTTACTGTTGTAGTATATTTCGTTTCTAACATTCGTAAAGGATAAAAACCTCCTCTATCTTGTTTTTATCCGCACATCAAAACGAGTTTCATAATCTGATATTTGTTCCGTTACACGGATTTGGGTTGTTTTTTTGACGCTAAGCGTCTTTGAATTTCTGTGCATACATTCAAACATCATATTTTTTAGTCTATTCGTTCTGCATTTCATTTAATTTTATGAAAATACCAGTAACTATAAAGAAAAAACGCAGCTTCAATTATAGTAACAAATTGGTAATAAATATAATCTATTTTTACTATAATACTATTAGCGGTTTTGATCTAGTCTCATTATAAGTAACAATCATTTATGTGAATTTTACACAAAAAATAATTAACAGGCAATGAAACATAAAAAGTTAAATGGATATTGTACGTTCGAATCGCATGTTTAGGTTACGTATACACTGGGAAATTAAATTATCATATCAATCGAGTGCAACAGGGAAACCAGTCTTCTTTTAGTATAACTTATCTACAAAAAGGGCGAGTTCGGCGTGTTTGTTTTTCTTTAGTGCGGCGACCGGCGAACGAACAATGCCGCCACGCAACTCTTGCCTTTGCCCGACTCGAGATGAGCACGATTGCGCAAGGATGCGCGAATGTAACAAAGCAATTTTCTCATGGTGATTAAGCTTTAGTAAAATCTTTTACTTTTAGATTTGGAAAGTAAAGCATACTTCAGAGACGTTATATCATTTACGTCATAGACTTCACGTCTTTTCTTACAGTTTTTTTAATAGTTGCTTTTTCAATTGTTTTTATTAACAAAACAACAAATGAAACTTGTCCCTCTATAAAATTATTGTTTATAACTTTATTAATGAATTATATTTACAAGGATAGTGATTTTCATCGTTTACGTATCCGGTCACATGAGTTTTCCCAATTATAGAACCTACATAATTTATAAGCAAATCAGGAAAGCCATCATTTATTTACCGTTTGACGAGGTGAGAAAATTCTGTAAGCGATAAAGTATGTAAAATGTTTCTATTATATTTATCCCGTTCGTTGGTGTGGTTTTCTTTCCAACCGCTTACGGTATTCTTGCTAAGTAGGTATGCACTAGCAGGATTCACAATTTGTTGAAGTTAACTTTAATGTTTTCTAAATGTTTCCTATATTCTATTTAGATTCAGATATATCAATATATGTGTTAATTTATATTATAAACTAGCTGCTCCCATGCGACTTCATCCGCCTAAAACATAAAAATTTCATTTTATTGTTCACATTTGTCAAATTATCCATTGCAAATGTGAAAATGATATGACATGATGTCAAACCATGGCAACCTTGCTTCCTTGATGTTGGCAACAACTTATGGTCTCTTTCCCACATTAGGGTTTTTAGCCAAAATATTTACCCCTAAGTTTGATGGCGTCGAAATATATAGCCTAAAGCGTGACGTAAATGTAGGGCTTTTTATTAAAAAAAAAATAATTCGAAAACATACTGTGATTGCTGACATCTTAGGTAACAGAGAAGTGTGTGTTTACGCTTTATTATAATAGTATAGATATAGAGTATCATTTTAGGTTAATACTCAAACATATGTACTTTAAAACTATCGTTTAGTTTAGAAACATTTCCTTGAAGTAAAAGTTACAAGCAGACGTTATTTGCAATCATAGGTCCCTGAGATACATGGCACACGTTGCCATAAACTATATTGCATTGGTTTGCATTACCCAGGTGGTTGAGGCATTTAGGGACACGTATAGTGTAAGTTAGTATCTATCAATAGGAGTCGGAGCGGTGGGTTGGCGGCTCAGAGGTCGAAGGCGGTTAATTGGCGACGAGTCTCAGCCGGTTTGTCCGCCTGTTATTTTACGGCGTTTCTGCCTCAGTCTGACTCACATAGTTCTGACTGCATACCTCTAGGACTTTTACCCCTACAGCTCATTTTACAACACTCCGGCATAGATAGAGGGGAACGAAATACTGCTATGCAAAGGCTTCGACGCTCGCAACGGAAATTATGAATCCCCTCAACTCCCTAAAAGTTTTTGTTTTGTAACCAAGCAATATCGATTGTTGTTATCGTGCGTGTATCGAATGTTTGTAAATTTTAATGTGAACTTTGTTCAATAAACACGCCAATTACGAACACGTTTGCATTTAAGTCTCACAACAGTGACTTAAGAAGTATAACAAAAAATGTAACAATGAGGAAGTATAAGTATACGTAGTGTAGCGTGATTATAAGAATTCGAGCGATTTTGGAAAAGACGTATTTTAGTGGTTAGTAAGCGTCAAGGCCATTGCTCTCAGATAGATGAAGAGGAAAAAAAACAAGGAACAGTTGTTGGCCGGGGCGAGGGCGAGGGGATTCACGGTCGAGCGAGCGCCACCTGCGCGGCGCGGTATCGCACTGCCCGCCGCCCGCTGCCCGCCCGGCGCGGCGTGGCCCGGCCAGGCCTGCCCGCTATGCACCTAGAGAAGCAATGCTATATTTAGCAAGCCCTGTTCTTAGTTTTCCTTAGGCCTTGATGGTACAACTTTTTGTCTACGTTTTAGCAATTTCTTTTCTTATTTCATTCAAGCCTCTTTACGTCGCTATGTAAATAGTCAGCTTTTTCTATGTTATTCAAACAGTTTTGTTTCTTTTCTTTCTCGCCTTATTAAGTTTTGAAAGTTTTTTTTTACTATTTTTTGTTGTTAATTATTGTAATAGGTTGAAATCTTTAGCTTAAAATAGAAATAAAACTTCTAACATCAATGTTTCGATTTCTACACTGTATTTACCTTCCAGGTACAGTCACTTACATTTTTTGACGCCAAAATATGAAAATGTATAGCGATTAGTATCTTTTTACTAAATGTAAAACATACAGAATAAACAGTTAGGTCATTTACATTGTTATACTTTCTCCTATAGAGCTACTGGCAAATGTCATCAGACCAAATTTTGTGTTTGACGCATTACTAGTTTTATTTTTTATTAACACTTGTGTATGTGGTATAATTTAAGATTAAATTAGCACATTATAGAATTTACGTGTGCGAGGGAGAGAATGATCTAATTTTGCGAATTTTACAGTTCGCTAAGATAATAAAAATAGTTATACAGACATCCGATAATCCGATAAATTATGCAATGTCATCCATTCCTTCGTTAGCAGTGCAGTGCATTGAAGAGAGTTAAAAAACACACTATCTATTAGGATACTATAGCCTAAAATGTAAATA